AATTTTAATTTAGTGTCTTTTTAAAAAATGTTATAACAATTTTAAAAATGCTCATTGCTTTGTATTCTACTCAATTTTAAAATATTTAAAATGGCGGTGATCGTAGTAAATGGTCAATATGAACCAATAAGTCATTAATGATAAGACAATGACATAGGTGTATAAATTATTTTAATTGGTAGAGAGCGAAGGTTTTGTATAATTTCGCACATTGGCACACGTTTTTCAAAAGTAAAGAAAGATATAAAAAAAAAATGTATGATTTTCTATGGAAGTATTATTTTTTGAATTCTCGCCTAAGCGTTAAATCGAAGTCACGATTTTTGTCTTCAGAAAAACACTTTGGTGATTCGATGTGCGTTTTCATTTCCACTGTTTACATAAATGAAAATATACGAATCATTTTTTACACGTGAACGAATCTTTAGAACGAATCATATTTGGTGAATCGATTCAGATGATTCGAATCTTTTGTATGATTCATTTATCCCATCTCTAATATATAGTTCATCAGTTTATTAATCATAAGCTGATGAGAAAATTATGTGTCTGCTAAAATACGGTTTTGTCAAAATATTTTCCGTTTTTTTACGCGCCCCCATATCCCATTACATTAAAAAATGAAACGTAGATAATACATTTTACAATTTGCACCCCAGGAACTGAAAGAACTTTTCGGACCCTCAGGAAAAGTTTTATGCCATTCCGGTCGTTATTTTGCTAAATTCGTTTCTTATGACTACATGTTGCACATCGATAAAGAAAACAAAATGATAAATCGTTGTAAAGCAAACACCCGATATTAATACACGTGTACCTTCGAGTATATTACAAAAACATGTTATTCTACTGTTTTCGATAAATCGAAATGCACTAGAAAATTGATTGATTCATTAAGGACAGAGCACTAGTTTTCTCTTAAAATAATAGCATTTTTGTAGCTTTTATAATAATTGGAGACACTTAAGTTGGTGTTATTTTACAATATTATAAAACTATTACTAAACATTTGCCTTTTCTATTTTTTTTTTTCACAACTTGGTATTTTGACAGAAGCGTAGTGCCAGCGGAACAAATCATATTTCACTCCACCCTTCCTCCCTTCCTTAATTTTAATGTTTAATAACTCCCAAAGTGATTAGCCAAAACTGGTTATCGACCGGTATACTATTCAGAAACTAATTCTCAGTTTAAATAGTAAATTAAATATGTACACAAATTGCCGTTTAAGTTTTTAAAAGTTGATAGGCTTATGGAAAATAATAGAAAAAAAGGTTGATGTTTAGTATTTTTATAATATTGTAAAATATGATAACCCAAAATGTTCTCAAAAAAAAAAAAAAAAATACTACAAAATTACAATTATTCTAAAGCGTACTCATTGCGTCTTTAAACCGTGACGAAAACATTCGGTTTGAGTTGAATAAAAATCTTTTTATCAATTTTCAAAATACCCATTGCTGGTTGGTGTTTCGCTCAATTTGAAAATATTTAAAACGGCGGAGACCATAAAAGATGGTGGACAGTTTCCAACAAATTAGGGGTTCCGTTTTAGGCCAATACGAACCAATAAGTCATTAATGATAAGACCATTGCATAGGTGTATAACTTATTTTAATAGTTGGTAGAGAGCGAGGGTTTTGTATAATTTTGCACATTGGCACATGTGTTTCAAAAGTTACACCGAGTTCAAAAGTAAATAAAGATTTACATGTACGGTTTTTTATGGAAGTATTACTAATCGAATTCTCGCCTAAGCATTAACTCGAAAACAAAATTTTTTTTAAAATTTAAAAGAAAAACACTTGGGTTGTTCGATGAGCGTTCCCATTTCCACTGTTTACATAAATGAAAATATACCAATCGTTTTTAGCTTCGATGCAAAGCGAGAACGTATTGGTTTTACTCTGATGTGTGTTTTTTTTTTTTATCTGTATACACTGTAACTTTTTTAATACTGGACCAATTCCTTCGAGTAGCAACTCTATTAATCGCAAATTTCATCTAGTTGGTACTTTGGGAGGGGTAAAAGTCGAAAAAGTTTAATTCTTCACAGACGAAAGTTGAAAAAACAAAAAAAAAACCGTACGAGTTTTTAAGTTAGAACTTTTACTGGCTATAATTTCGAGAAAAAGAGTCGGATCGAGTTGAAATGTATAAGAAATAATTATTTGGTATGCCCGCACACGTCAGTTGTGTCAAACCTAAACTATACCCATTTCTCACCCCCCTAGGGGGGGTACAAGTTTTTTGGTTTTTCGGGGTTTTTAGCCGTAGTTTTAAAACTTTTGATAAGGATTTGTACAAGGAATATTTTTATTTTGTATGCTCTTGTACGTAAATAGTTTCAAATTTAAATTATACCCATTTCCCACCTCCTTAGAGGTAGTTCAAGTTTTTTTAGCCGTAATTTTAGGACCTTTAAGTTGAAAATTTGTCAGGACTTAGAACTCATATGTACCCATAACAAACGAAATAAATATTCAGAACTACAGTTCATATTTAATTAGTAGAAAACTGCGTTTTTCGCAGATTTTGTAGATTTTAACATAAACACCTTAAATCACAAATAAAAAAATGTATCAAATCAATAAAACATTTTTATTGACATCTATTCACAATGGTACTATTGGGTTTTGATACTCAAGTACTGGTTTTAGCTTCGATGCAAAGCGAGAAGGTATTGGTTTTACTCTGATGTGGGCTTTTTTTTTCGCTGTATACACTGTAACTTTTTTAATACTAGACCATTTCTTCGAACAGCGACTCTATAAATCACAAATTTTATCTAGTTTGTTCTTTGGGGGGGGGGGGTAGTTGAAAAAGTTTAATTCTTCACAGACGAAATTTGAAAAAACAAAAAAAAACCCTACGAGTTTTTAAGTTAGAACGTTAATTTGTAAGTGATTTTATCCGAGAGGGCTAGTACAGTAGAGTATTGGCATAATGTAATCAAAGCAATGAGGAAACGGAGAGGTCACATGTCTACAAGAATTATTATAAATAAAAGTGCTAAAATTGAATAAAATCGCTTTCAAATAAACGCTTTGATGCTCATTTGTAAGTACAGAACCTTCAATTATAACTTTCTAAATTTGCTGGTTTATACTGTGCTTGGTTTGGACTGTACTGGCTTGAAAATACTAACTACCGAATTGCATCTAAGCGTTTTTTCGAAAGTGATTTTATCATTTTCAGATTTAAAAATTCCTGTTAACCTGTGACCTCCCCGCCACCACTATGCCCCGAACCAACTATGCTCCGTCCCCACTATGCCCCGACCCCACTGTATTGTTTTTTTTTTATTTTTAGTAAAATACAATTCGATTAAACTTTGAAGTTTATAAATTTTATCAATTAAAAAAGACGTAGCTTTTTAATTTTTTTTTTTAATGCAATTTCTACAATAATTTTAAAGCATTTTAACGACTTTTTTTAATTGTCTGATTAGATTAATTGGATTATTATTTTTTTATCTATAAATATCCTCGTTTGAAAGGCTTTGGTTAAACGTCGGTTTTGTTGATATCCCTAATAGCTTTGTTTTTGTTTAATGTTTAAATTTCACTATTTTATGTTTTTATTTACTTTACCATAAACTTTAGCTGAAACATAAAATACAACCGACGATGTACGTCGTGCAAAAAATTTTTTTTTATTCCATTAAAGTGTTAAAACTATAAGACCACTAAATTTAAACCGTTTCCAATAAAAAATATAGACAATTTTTCTTTATTTCACTTTTCGAAGCAATTTTTTAGAGATTTGTTCGGGATATACAATTTTGTCAAAAAAAGCTGTGATCAAACTTTTACTTTATTAAGGAAAATTACAAAATAAGGGTGAAATACACTTTGACCGTAGTCAATTTCCATGACTACTCACACACAGCTTCACGGCAATACTAACTACCGATTTGCATCGAAGCATTTTTTCGAAAGTGATTTTATCACTTTCAGATTTAAAAATTCCTGTAAACCTGTGACCTCCCCCTCCCCACTATGCCCCGACCCCACTGTACTGGCTTTTTTTAATATTACATAAATAATAATATATTATAAATGTATTTACAATTTTCTCATTTCTGTAAATTCTACCCAAAGGTGTATACAGCATATTTGTGTCTACAACGAATATGTTTGACATAATACAACTCCAAGGCATTTTATATACTAACGCATTTAATAGTACGAAAAATTTGAGTACATCTATTATTAGGGGCTTTTTTATGTGTATTATTATGACTCATATGTTCGTTGCTACCGAGATGGTAAATAAAACACAAAAAAAAAAAATATCACTAACCGTACAATGTTCACACATTTAAAACGTACAACGAAAATTCGGAGCATAAAATAAAACCTTAAATAATTAAATATTTTTTTTTAATTATTCTAGTCTATAGTTTCTTCAAATTGAATTTAATTTGCTATGTACGGCTCACCATACAATGGGCGCTAACAAAAATATGTGTTAGAACCACATTGGACAAGCCAGACAACAAGTGGGGGTAGCGAAGAGCCGTCTTACCATTTACAATAGAATCCTATTGGTTATCCTATGTAAACACAATTGGTTGCAAAATGAGTGTTACTTGCATTTTAAGAAAATGCGGCAAGTGGAGGAGAGTCACAAAACTAACTACATAAAGTCAAACCGAACACTGTAAACTGTATTAGTGGTTTTTTGTGTTTCTCGCACACAACTTAATCCATAAGGTTTATCAAACAACTACCAAGTAAGTAATATTAAAAATTATTTTGCTTTGACAGTATGTTTAGAGTGCATTCGTCATCTATAAATTGACTGCATATAATTTCATAGCGTTTAAAACTAAGTTAATTTATTTGTATTATTTTATCATATTTATATTTTTGTATTGTTTGTATGATTATATCAGTTAAAAATACTTACATTTTATTGACTCATTCGTGAACGGGTTATTCTTCTATTAGTTTGTAATACAGAATTGATCGTTGACGATTTATTATTTCATTATTATTACTATTATTTCATTAGGTATGTTTGTCGATGAAAAATAATAAATATTATTGATTTTTGTTTTATTATAGGTATTCTCACCATGAACTCAATCATGCGTCTTCGTTGTGTCATGTTATTTGCAATTTTTTCCTTTGGTCTCATCGTAAGTGCAACATTCTATACAAAACATAACAAATACGAATATCTACTCTTTTGTTATTATAGAAACATTTATATATATATATATATATATTTATAAATATATATATATATATATATATATATATATATATATATATATATATATATTCATAATGTTGATATAATAGTAATATTTTACTTATTGTCCGTAACATAATGTAACTAAAAACGACTGCAGTGATCTTTGTCATCATGCAAACTACATATTTAGGCATCTTACTATACTAGACAATGGGAACAAGTGTTCCCAGAACCTCTATAACGTCGTACCCAATTTTCTTGGACTTATCTTCAATGAACCTGCAAAACTTTAACTCTACTGGTATTTGTCAAGACAGTCGTCAAGAGCTATGATACTACTAATAGTACTAATACTGTGTATGTACGTCTTTCAGATTTCATTACATGCTGCGTCACCCCCAAGGACATCTTCCCCGGATACGCCTCCCTCGAAGCGTCATAAGTCCTCCGAGGAGGCAGGCAACGAGGAGGCAGGCAACAAGGGGGTGGGGGACGAGGGGGTGGGTGACGAGGTTGAGGAGGAAAAGGATGAGAAGGACGAGGATGAGGAGGATAGGCCCTTGGATGAAAATGCCATTGACGAGGGTTTGAACAGTTATGACCCGATAACAAGTCTTCAATGTAGGCTTATTGAACCTTATTTATATAAATGTTTTCAAAAAGATGAGAAAACTGATGGTTGTAAGTATCTAAGTCATTATTTTGTTTTATTTTTGTATAATACGCAAAAGGAAGATTAGATTAATGAAATTAATCCAATTTCCATTCTGTAAATACCTGTTTTTTTTTTTTTTTTTGATGCTGGTTTTAGAACCTTAATACCTTTATTTAAGTACCAGTCGGACTTAGAAAAACTTTATCGTTAAAAAATATACATTTTGAAAATAGTTGCTGTAAACATGGTCGAAAAATATGGCAGAAAGTAGATTTAGAACACATACATACAGTAATTTAAATTTAGAATGAAGTATTTAAATACATCCGATTAAACTATTTTGTAATCAAGAAACACTCAATTGTTCTTTCAAAATGTTTTGTTGGTATTGTATTATACATTCTACCGTCTACATAATAATATTAAGGATTTTTATTTTTTTGGGAGGTTTTTCCTGATTTATTTATGTTTAGTAAAATTACGAGACTGGACTTAGCGAAATGAGTAAATAAGAACAAATATTTAATGCACATTTTATTCGTGCTTAATGTCATATTGTTCAAAAAAAATACCAAATTTGGCCATGATCCTAGCGATTTTTATTTCATGGCACAGTTTACTTATAAATTGTACGGTATTATAACTGTTTTTAACATGTTTTTTTATATTTGTGCACAGTTAACTCACATGAATTTCATCCATTCTATGCTGATGTCGTCGAAGATGCACAAAAATTAATAATAGCCGGCAAAGATGGCGACGCAAGCGAAAAGTTAATCACTGCAACACAAGCTATGGTGGTTCTCGAAGAAGTCGACTGTGCGGATGTGCTCGAAGACAAAGAAGCAGTGGATAGTATGTGGGAAAATTGGCATGATGACACAGTCACAGACCAAGAAAAAGAGGGTATTCTAAAAAAAATAGAAGTTATCGTCGAAAAATTCATAACAGACGTAAAGAATAAAAATTAATAAAAAAAAAAAATTCAACATTTATATATTTAATTAACAATGTTTTGTTTTATATAAAGATAAACTTTAAATGATTGTTGTTAATTGTTATATTATATATTTATGTTATTCTTTTGTCATATACGAGATATTATACGTCATATTGTTCACTATTTAACTTTTGGATTTCATTTTTTTTTTTATACCTGGTTCTATAGGTGAATTACAATATTGATATGCTAAAAATCATACCCTAGAGCACATTTTCATGTCCAAACGATGTTCAATAACTAATGAATATTATAGTATGAGAATGGGTCCCCACTTGCTTAGTAGACACTTTTGGCGAGACATTACTAATATTGCGAAAAGTAACAAGTTGCAATTAGTAAATGCAATTTGCAACTAGTAGTCTAATAAATATTTTTATTTCCCTTAAAAACGCTGAAACGGTTTTATCCCTATGAATTATCAAATTTAATTCATGCCGCATTAAACTATACTGCCGCCATTGGACAAAGACATTTTGTAAATTTACAATTTTCCTTGTCGACAATAAAATATATGTTTATGCGGGGTGCAATTTTATATCATTCAATATAAAGCATATATTCAATCATGTTACTATCAAGCTACATTACTCAAAATAATTTATCAATAAGAAGAAGTTGTTATAACTATTGTACTTACCGAAGTTCCAAGACAATTTTGTTTAAGCAATGTTTTGTGGAAAAAAATGGTGACAATGGTAATACTGCAATATAATTTTCGATAACAATTCTTTTAGGGCAAAAAGCTCAGACGTCCAGATGACAAGTGCCATAATTAACGAAATTGTTCATAATAATTTTTTTTTTTTACTTATATAGTAGGACATGTGTCTCGTTTGCACAGAATCATATATTTATGGGTATTACATTTGATTATGCAATAAAGTGTTTTTTGTAGAATATTAGACATGTGTCCATTCTGTATATATTAGCTATTCAAATAACAATAGATTATTAAAATACACAAAAAAAATAATATAACAATAAAATGTAAAAAAAATATGGTTATATCTGACCAATTAATGGATTTGAGTAATTCGTCTTCAATATTTAAAATTGAAAAGAGAGCACATGTGTTTCAAAAGTTACACCGAGTTCAAAAGTAAATAAAAACTGATTACTTTAGCATAAACTTTAGCTGAAACATAAAATACAACCGACGATGTACGTCGTGCAAATTTTTTTTTTGAATTCCATTAAAATGTTAAAACTATAAGACCACTAAATTTAAACCGTTTCCAATGAAATATATAGAATTTTTTTCTCTATTTCACTTTTCGAAGCAATTTTTTAGAAATTTAATAAGGATATACAATTTTGTCAAAAAAATCTTTGATCAAACTTTTACTTTATTAAGGAAAATTCCAAAATAAGGGGGAAATACACATTGACCGTAGTCAATTTCCATGACTACTCACACATTGCTGTGTGCAAATGAGTAAACAGGCAATGGAAATATTTAATTACATTGTTGACAACGATATATGGGTTACTATAGCAATACATTCATACAGACAGACGATCAACCCTAATCGTATCAACCCTTAAACTAAAAATTAATTTTCAAGCAAACAATTGTAATTTGGTACGTTAGGTTTTCTCGATATTTGTATTTTTATCTGTAAACCCATCTTATTTACTTACATAATACTACTACTACCAACTACTACTTACACGTTCAACTACTATGCTTAGTTTGGACTGTACCGGTTTGAACCGATACGTCCATAGATTCGCATTGAAGAGTTTATTTAAAAACGATTTTATCACTTTCAGTTGTAATAATTTCTGTGTACTTGTGACCTCCCTTCCCCACCCACTATGCCTCGACCTAACTCTACTGGCTTTGTTTTTTGGAAAAATGTTAACGTTAACGTTAGAAAATAATCCTTCTTCTTGGCTAACGTGTACAGATTTCTTTTACCAGAGGCCCAAATTTGGGTTTTCAAACCGAATATTATGTTTGAGGTTTTAGTTTATGCGCTAAATTTTCGTTGTATGAAATGTGCTAGTATATTAGGTATATAAAACGATAAGCAACACACGGTTAGTAAATTTTTTTTTTCGCGTCTTATTTACCTTAAATTCGTATAGGTATGAAAACACCGATGTACTCATGTTAACATAGAAAACACAATTTTTTTCACTATAGAAAAACACTTGGGTCGTTCGATGTGCGTTCCCATTTCCACTGTTTACATAAATTGAAAAGTACGAATCGACAAATTCGAGGTCTTAACAAATTCATGGCCAACCCGACTTTTTGACGATTTTCTAGAATAATAAAAAAAAAACAAATTTTTTTTGGTAATACAATGTTATTTCAAGGTCATTGTAATTTTTCCCCCTTCGGTAAGAGGAATTTAGGGAGGGGCGATTTTGCAATATCCTATAGCAACTTGTATGAATAATAAATTTATACATTTATGTTAATCTATTTTTTGTGTTTTAGTAAATTAGAATTTGATTGGACTTTGAAGTTTATGATCAAATTTAAAAGAGCCGTAGTCTTTTAATAAGTTGGATTATTATTATTTTTTATAACACACAAAAAGTCACGTTCGCATTAATACCGGTCGCTAAAAGAAATTCCACATTCAAATAATATAACTAGGTCGATGACAAAAGATGTTGTTTTTGTTTTCGAATATTTTTTTATTTAGGACATATTATGTGTATGACTGTAACTGTTTGAACAAGCATACAAAACAACAAATCAAAACAAGTGGTCTTCTTATTTTAAATAAATAATACAACTTAAAACGTGTTTTCAATACGTTTTCCCGTTGAAAAAAGTGAATATACAATATTATTTAGAAAAGTAACGATAAAGGTTTTAAATTTTGAATATAAAAATAATATAGTAACATACACGGATGTAGACATTTTTAGGTGTTCTAAGACCAATTGTAGGAATATGGAATAAAATACAATACAAAAAAACATATGTATTCGTGATAATTCATAGTTTTTTTTTTCACATTATATAAATAATAATATATTATAAATGTATTTACAATTTTCTCATTTCTGTAAATTCTACCCAAAGGTGTATACAACACATTTGTGTCTACAACGAATGTATGTTTAACATAATAAAACTCCAAGGCGTTTTATATACCAACGCATTTAATAGTACGGAAAATCTGAGTACATCTACCATCAAGGAGCTTTTTTATGTGTATTATTATGACTCATATGTTCGTTGCTACCGATACGAATTTAAGGTAAATAAAACGCAAAAAAAAAAAATACTACCAACCGTGTAATGTTCACGCATTTATAACGTACAACGAAAATTCGGAGCATAAAATAAAACCTTAATTAATTAAATATTTTTTTTTTTAATAATTCTAGTCTATAGTTTCTTCAAGTTGAATATAATTTGCAATGCACGGCTCACGGTACAATGGGCGCTAACAAAAATATGTGTTAGAACCACATTGGACAAACCAGACAACAAGTGGGGGTAGCGAAGACCCGTCTTACCATCTACAATAGAATCCTATTGGTTGTCCTATGTAAACACAATCGGTTGCAAAACGGGTGTTACTTGCAACTTAAGAAAATGCGGCAAGTGGAGGAGAGTCACAAAACTAACTACATAAAGTCAAACCGAACACTGTAAACTGTATTAGTGATTTTTCGAGTTTCTCTCACACATGACTTAATCCATACGGCTCATCAAACCACTACCAAGTAAGTATTATTAAAAATTATTTTTCTTTGACGGTACGTTTTAGAGTGCATTCGTAATTTATACATTGACTGCATGTAATTTCATAGCGTTTTAAACTAAGACTTAATTTGGTTTGTATTATTTTATTGATCGATTAACTTTTAATTAATAAAACAATTAGTTTTAGAACTATTTAAGTCTCGGGTCGAAGTAATGTGTTGTTTATTTTTATCTGCGCGTTGCGGGCAGATTAAAATTAAAAAAAAAATTTGAGTATTGCACTCAACCGAACTTGGTTAAGGCATCGTGGTTTAGGAATATTTTCACATCCATTTTCGCCGTAAGCTTTTAGAAGCGTGCCGTATTCTGTTGCCGACTAGACCGGTCGAGTACCCATTAACGCGATTATTAAATATTTATTAATAATAACTTACTATCAGAGTGGTCTGAACAAAACGACACCCATTATAGTCATTATAGATGACAACCTATGTTATAAAATTATTCGTTGCACTTGCATATTGCATATTTTTGCACTGACAAGTTTTGCCGTATACAAAGATATGTACACCAATGAATCGAATGCATATATACAGGGTGATTCAATAAGGAAAAGACACACATTCGCTCTTAAAAAAAATTGCAATTTTGTAGTTTTTCTATTTGTTTTTACAATAACATAAGTTTTTGTTATTGTAAAAAACTGAAAATTATTCTAATTTTGATATTTTTTAATTTTTTTTTAACGCTATTATGTCTTTTGAAACTGAAATAAAAACGTATGTATATATTAATTTAACTTTTTAAACTAAGAATCATTTGTTGTACATTTTGACTCGTCGATTACCAGTTTTAGATAATTAATTTTAAGGTTTTTAAAGTTAAAAGTTTAGAACGGGAAAAAGGATAGAGTGTAATATTATTTTTATCTGCGTGCATAGCTCTAACTTTAGTAACATCAAAAGTAACTAGGTATCCAAAACCGGTTATCGACGAGTCAAAATGTTCAGAAAATTATTCTTAGTTTAAAAAGTTAAACTAATATGCACGGGTCCCATTTAATTAAAAAAATACCTACTAAAACATGTAAATATTTAGTAATTTTATAATATTGTAAAATAACAAAAACTGCAATGTTTTCAAAAAGAAAAACGATAAAATTGCAATCAAACAAAAAAGAAATATTAGATAAACAAACTCAAAATTCAAAGTAGGTAGCTCCATTGGGTGTCCCCCTACTGCATGTTATTCAAGCTATATTATTATTTTTGTTTTTTACTGTTTACCCATTTACTGTTGTGCATATATTTTGTATATTTGTAAGTATTCAATGTAATAAAGACATTTTCTAAAAAAAAAAATTGCGATTATTTTCGAAGAAAATGGGTGTCTTATTCTTAATGAGTGCACTTGTGCAGGATTCCCTTACGGTGATTATACATTGCAATGTTTTCTAGGTCAATCGAGCCTATAAATACATTATTTTATAGTAAAATTAAAATCACAAATTAAAAAAAATCCAAACACAAAAATAGGAAAATCTACACTATTGTAAAAATATTACGTTTTCAGCTCTAGATTTGCAGAAAATATGTAGGTATTTTTAAATAATTATTGATCCTGTCAATTACTATTAAAATTAAATTATGCGTGATACATAGGACTCTTAGGATGTTAGCACCCTACACAATGGTTTTGTTTAGGATTTGGAATCAACAATAAGCATTTAAAACTATAACGGGTACATTCGGCTGCCGATTTAACATAAGACAATACAGAGCTAACTAATTAAAGTGACAAATTGTGGTTTTCCTTATAAAGTAAGAAGTTAGTAAAGCGGAAACAAGGCAGTTTTTAATTTTGAATGTCGATGTCTGTACTACTTGGACCCGATTAATGTGTTATCAATAGTTAATTTACATTCCTCAGAAATACAAATATCGACAGTAAAATATATAATTAGTATTAAAATTAAAAATACTAGATATTTATGTATGTATTTAAAATTTATTATAAATATTATATTTAAAACTTACTGTTAAAATAATAATACCGTAAACACATTTTAGACGTTGGCCGTTGATTTCGAGGCTTATTATTTAAATGAAAAAAATATATTTCTGAACATAATTACAACTATTAGAACAAGTTTTAGTTAATACCCGAATACCTGGGGTTTTAATACCGAGTAGTCGGGTATTTTAACTACCCAGTGTAATCGTAAGCTCTAAATTTAGTACCATGTAATTTTATTGAAAAGATTCTATGCAACAACACTGCTCAGTTTATCGGAAACGTGTAATTCTCAGGACATTATTTTGTACAAAACTGGAAACTAATATCGATAATTAATGTGGATTTGTTATTGTCGAATAAACATTATAAGCGTGCATATCAGTTGAATATTAATAAAAAAATACTTACATTTTATTAACTCGTTCGTGAATGGGTGTCCATTATTTGTATTTTGAGTTATAGTTATTCTTCTATTAGTTTGTAATACAGAGTTGATCGTTGAAGATTTATTATTTCATAGCACCGTTATTAAGTATGTTTGTCGATGAAAAATAATAAATATTATTGATTTTTGTTTTGTTATAGGTATTCTAACCATGAACTCAATCATGCGTCTTCGTTGTGTCATGTTATTTGCAATTTTTTCCTTTGGTCTCATCGTAAGTGCAACATTCTATACAAAACATAACAAATACGAATATCGTTCAAATGTATAGAAAAACTGTTTGTACTCTTTTGTTTTTATAGAAACATATATATATATAAATATATATATATATATGTATATTCATAATGTTGAAATAATAGTAATATTTTACTTATTGTCCGTAACATAATGTAACTAAAAACGACTGCAGTGATATTTTTCATCATGCAAACTACATATTTAGTCATCTTACTATACTAAACAATGGGAACTAGTGTTCCCAGAACCTCTATAACGTCGTACCCAATTTTCTTGGACTTATCTTCACTGAACCTGCAAAACTATAACTCTACTGGTATTTGTCAAGACAGTCGTCAAGAACTATGTTACTACTAATAGTACTAATACTGTGTATGTACGTCTTTCAGATTTCATTACATGCTGCGTCATCCTCAGAGACATCTTCCCCGGCTACGCCTCCCTCGAAGCGTCTTAAGTCCTCCGAGGAAGCGGACAACGAGGAGGTGGGGGACTAGGATGATGAGGACGAGGATGAGGAGGACGAGGATGAGGGGAACATTACGCCCTTGGATGATGATGCCATTGACGAGGGTTTGAACAGTTATAGCCCGACGACAAGTCTTCGATGCAGGCTTACTGAACCTTATTTATATAACTGTTTACAAAAAAAAGAAACTGGTGAATGTAAGTATCTAAATCATTATTTTGTTTTATTTTTGTATAATACGCAAAAAGGGGAGAGTAAGTTAATTAAATTGATCCAATTTCCATTCTGTAGATACCTGTTTTTTTTTTTTTTTTGATGCGGGTTTTGGAACCCTATATTTATTTAATTATCAGTCGGACTTAGAAAAACTTTATCTTTAAAAAATATAAATTTTGAAAATAGTTGCTGTAAACATGGTCGAAAAATATGGCAGAAAGTAGGTTTAGAACACATACATAGTAATTAAAATTTAGAATGATGTATTTAAAAACATCCGATCAAACTATTTTGTCATCAAGAAACACTTAATTGTTCTTTCAAAATGTTTTGTTGGTATTGTATTATACATTCTACCGTCTACAGAATAATTAATGATTTTTATTTTTTTTTTGGGGGATTTTAATATTTTGGGGTTTTTCCTGATTTATTTATGTTTAGTAAAATTATGAGACTGGACTTAGCGAAATGAGTAAATAAGAACAAATATTTAATGCACATTTTATTCGTGCTTAATGTCATATCGTTCAAAAAGAATACCAAATTTGGCCATGATCCTAGCGATTTTTATTTCATGGCATAGTTTACTTATAAATTATACGGTATTATAACTGTTTTTAAAATGTTTTTTCATATTTGTGCACAGTCGACCTATCTAAATTGCATCCATTCTATTCTGATGTCGTTGAAGATGCAGAAAAATTAATAATAGCCGGCAAAGATGGCGACGCAAGCGAAAAGTTAATCACTGCAACACAAGCTATGGTGGTTCTCGAAGAAGTCGACTGTGCGGATGTGCTCGAAGACAAAGAAGCAGTGGATAGTATGTGGGAAAATTGGCATGATGTCACAGTCCAAGTAAAAGAGGGTGTTCTAAAAAAAATAAAAGATGTCGTCGAAAAGTTCATAACAGCCGTAAAGGATAAAAATAAATAGAAAAAAAAAATTCAACATTTATATTTTTAATTAACAATGTTTTGTTTTATATAAAGATAAACTTTAAATGATTGTTGTTAATTGTTATATTATATATTTAATGTTATTATTTTGTCATATACGAGATATTAAACGTCATATTGTTCACTATTTAACTTTTGGATTTTATTTTTATTTTTTTATACCTGGTTTTATGGGTGAATTACAATATTGATATGCTAAAAATATACCCTAGAGCATATTTTCATGTCCAAACGATGTTCAATAACTAATGAATATTATAGTATGAGAATGGGTCCCCACTTGCTTAGTAGACACTTTTGACGAGACATTACTAATATTGCGAAAAGGAACAAGTTACAATTAGTAAATGCAAATTGCAACTATTAGTCTAATAAATATTTTTACTTCCCTTAAAAACCGCATGGATACAGCCATAAATACACCTGTACAACAAAGTCAGGAACGGGCCATAACTCTATATACTTACCTGAAAAGATAGAGATGTGATCTAAATAATTGCATCGATACATCAGAGTAGGGAACCGAAAACACTAGTCTAGCGAAGAAAAACGTTGTGACACCACAAGAGTATGTTGTCATAACGGAACTAATATAGAGTAAAATAACTTACATGAAAATTACATAAAACATGTTATTATTTCAACAATGCACGTACACAATATTTTTCTGCTTATTTATTAGAACTTATATCGTACTTAGACTGAAACGCCTTTATCCCTATGAATTATCAAATTTAATTCGTGCCGCATTAAACTATACTGCCACCCTTGGACAAAGACATTTTGTAAATTTACAATTTTCTTTGTCGACAATAAAATATATGTGTATGTGGGGCGCAATTTTATATCATTCAATATAAAGCATATATTCAATCATGTTACTATCATGCTACATTACTCAAAATAATTTATCAATCACTTTCGAAAAAACGCTTCGATGCAAATCGGTAGTTAGTATTTTCAAGCCAGTACAGTCCAAACCAAGCACAGTATAAACCAGCAAAAATAGAAAGTTTTAAATGAAGGTTCTGTATTTACAAATGAGCATCAAAGCGTTAATTTGAAAGTGATTTTATCCGAGAGGACTAGTACAGTAGAGTATTGGCATAATGTAATCAAAGCAATGAGGAAACGGAGAGGTCACAGGTCTACAAGAATTATTATAAATAAAAGTGATAAAATTGAATAAAATCGCTTTCAAATAAACGCTTTGATGCTCATTTGTAAATACAGAACCTTCATTTAAAACTTTCTAACTTTGCTGGTTTATACTGTGCTTGGTTTGGACTGTACTGGCTTGAAAATACTAACTACCGATTTGCATCGAAGCGTTTTTTCGAAAGTGATTTTATCACTTTCAGATTTAAAAATTCCTGTAAACCTGTGACCTCCCCGTCACCACTATGCCCCGACCCAACTATGCTCCGTCCCCACTATGCACCGACCCCACTGTACTGGTTTTTTTTTTTTTTGCAAAAACTTAGTGGACCAAATAACACAAATACAATGTCTTGTTATATTTTGTTGGAATGGTCGACGATTCATGTTTCAATCTTTTGTACTCCATAGTTTAAATTATAATCGCTTATTCTCAATAAAATTAATATTTATGTATTATATACTTCCATTATAGCAATCTTACACAAACTATTTATACTTCACAGATTATATTATTTCAAAGCTATATTATACTTCTATTTTACTAGATTGACAATGTACAAAATAAAATGCAACTAAAAAAACCTTTTCATAGATCCTTAAAATGTAAAGGGTGGGTTAGTGAAACGGGTTTTACCATTTAAATACATTAGAAAATCGCCGTTTTACTGCCTCATCCTGTATATTAATTTCTTGTTATTTTCTAAAGAAAAATCGATTTTCTTACATTTAAATTAAAATAAATCGTATACTGGTACTGTGATGGAGAAAACAATAAATTTTACCTACATTTATTACTTATTAGTTAAATATTACTAACGTGTATAGCCACTAGCAGTCGGCTCTTGCCTGTTATTTAACAATAACCTTTAATGGAGATTTTAAAAATTGTGTTTTTTTAATCATAGCATAGGAGCAGTATCATGATGTTAAATGTTCACGAGATTTGATCTAGTCATAAAATAAAGTATTATCATTTATGACTTAATTATTATTAAAATTTATCTTATTAGTAATAGTACATAGTAATAAAATAATGAAATATTTTTTACAAAATTAGAGCTACAAGTTGATAAACTAAAAAAATAAAATTAGCACGAAGCAGATTATCTAATATTAGACAATTTAAACAATCAAGCGTGACTCTCTTTAAATGAATAACAGTATAACAATATACAAAACATTAGTTTTCCTTTAAAAAAATTGTGTAATAAAAAAAACATTTTGAGTCGGTATACTGCATAAAAACCAACACTTAATCTGAATCCAAAAAACAACAGTCCTCTTCATTATTTGCAGGTAGTTGGACATTAAATACTCATAGTTAACCTTCGGTAAGGTTATATAACGCAGGCTATAAAATAACGAGATAACGACAGTGGTTTTGTCGTATCAGAATCATTAAGTGTCTTAATAAGTACACGGACAGGTTTTTTTCCCAATAAATCGAGTGTCTACTATAATCAGTCACACGATTTAGTCGCCTGTGATATCATGTAATAAACACAATATTATGATACCGATCATTGGGCCCTAACCTAATCTAACACGGACCGACGTTACCAACTGATAATTTTTAGTGTCTGTTCGTTTCTCACATCTGGTACACTGGGTTTTTAGTAAAAAAAAAAAAAAAAAAATTGAACTTGTGTAAACTTTAAGTCAAAAGATTTTAGGTGTTTTTGTTAAAATATACGCAATGTGCGAAAACACGGTTTTCCGGCAATTAAAAAAAAACAGTAGTGCCGAATTTTTCACCCGCTTAATATGTTATGGATACATATGAGTTCCAACTACTGGCAAATTTTCAACCCAAAAGTTTTAAAATTACTGCTAAAAACCCCGAAAAACAAAAAAACTTGTACCCCCCCTAGGGGGGCGGGAAATGGGTATATTTTGAATTTGACAAAACTGACGTGCGCGGGCATACCAAATAAATATTTTTTATACATTTCAACTCGATCCGACTCATTTTCTCGATACTATAGCCAGTAAAAGTTCTAACTTAAAAACTCGTACGGTTTTTTTTTTGTTTTTTCAACTTTCGTCTGCGAAGACTTAAACTTTTTTAACTTTTACCCCCCCCCCCAAAGTACAAACTAGACAAAACTTGTGATTTATAGAGTTGCTATTCAAAGGAATTGGTCTAGTATTAAAAAAGTTACAGTGTATACAGCGAAAAAAAAAGCCCACATCAGAGTAAAACCAATACCTTCTCGCTTTGCAACGAAGCTAAAACATTTTTCTGGATTTTTGTGTAAAAGACATCAAAAGTGGTCAAATTATATGTTTTTTGGGTCGGTGATTACGAATTTAATATCAGTTCTCAATTTTAATATCCGGAAAGAACTTAAGTAAAAAAAAAAAAAAAAATTGAATTTGTGTAAACTTTAAGTCAAAAGATTTTAGGTGTTTTTGTTAAAATATACGCAATGTGCGAAAACACGGTTTTCCGGCAATTAAAAAAAAACAGTAGTGCCGAATTTTTCACCCGCTTAATATGTTATGGATACATATGAGTTCCAACTACTGGCAAATTTTCAACCCAAAAGTTTTAAAATTACTGCTAAAAACCCCGAAAAACAAAAAAACTTGTACCCCCCCTAGGGGGGCGGGAAATGGGTATATTTTGAATTTGACAAAACTGACGTGCGCGGGCATACCAAATAAATATTTTTTATACA